GGTTCAACCCCCCTATCAGCACCCTCATGCACAACCCTATACGAGCCACTGGAGAATCCCCACTACTCTCCAGTCTTGAGCCTTGGGGACTCTGAGGGTGGTCAAAAGCTTCCATTGATGGACCCAGGAGTCAGGGTGGGCCAGGGTCCAGGTCTGGGGGGGGTCCAGGTCATCATGACCCCCTGCACAACTCTATATGAGTCACTGGAGAATCCCCATCGCTCTTCAGTCCTGCACCTCAGAGGTGCAGCCCCCTGCATCAGGGGTTGTGCACCAAGTGTGTGGTCACCTATGGGACCCCATCACTGCCCATGAGGTCCTCATGAGCTGCAAGTCCCCATCACCTCTATGGTGTCCCCATGATCCCATCATCACCTATGGAGTGCCCATCACCCCTATGGTGTCCCCATGATCCCATCATTCCCTATGGAGTCCCCACACTCCTCTTGCCCCTTATGAAGTCCCCATGACCATCTGAAGGTCTCACCACCCTATTGTCCCCTATGGTGTCCCCATGACCTGCTGTCCCCCACCAATGCAGATCCAGAGCCAGGCTGTCAGAAAGAACATTTTTAACCCAAAAACAGGGGGCGGGAGGGGCCAGGAGGGTGGGGAGCACCCATGGGTGCTCATGATGGACACCCAAACATGGTCATGGCCTCAGCAAACTCCACGAAGTCCTGGCAGAGGGGTTGTAAGTCAGGCTCCTGACAAGCAGCCTCCGAGGGCCAGGCCTCCAGCCACGTGTCCTTGCCAATGAGGTAGGAGAAGCTGGAGACAACAAGGGGACATCAAGGGGACAGGGTCAGAAGGAGGTGGCACCTCGGTGGGGGGAACACAGAAGGATGGACAAGGGGGTGCACAACCCTGTACGAGACACTGGAGAATCTCAGGTTTGGAGGGACGTGGGGGGGAACACTTGGGTGTCAGTGTCACCATGGCCATGTGTCTCCAAACCTACCCATGTCCCCCATGTCCTCCATGTCCCCCATGTCCCATGTCTAATGTCACCATGGCCACATGTCTCCAAACCTACCCATGTCCCCCATGTCCTCCATGTCCCCCATGTCTCATGTCTAATGTCACCATGGCCACATGTCTCCAAACCTACCCATGTCCCCCATGTCCCATCATGTTCCTGTGTCCCCAAGACCCTCCCACATGTGTCCCCATGTCCGTACCGGTTGCCGGTGACCCACATGTCGGTGGCCAGCCCCCAGAGCAGATAGTCCTGACCCAGCTGGAGCTTCAGAGCATCTCGGCACTGCCGGTGGCTCACGAAGGTCCGGTTGCTTCCTGCTGTATCCTCGTCGGTGCCTGTCCCCAAGAGGACACAGGGTGACACGTCACCTCCACCCCAACACAATAGGGACACCCACTTTGGGGTGGCCCACAATGAGGACTCTCGATCCCCACTGGTGGCATCACCAGCCATGGGCAACACCAGTTCCCTCCAACTGTCCCCAGCACCCTTGGGTGTCTCCAGCCCACCTGGGTGACACCAAACCACTGGGTGACACCAACCCATCTGGGTGTCCCTTCTCAATGGGTGTCCCCAGCACCATTGGGTGACACCAACCCATTCGGGCATCCCTTCCCAATGGGTGTCCCCAGCACCATTGGGTGACACCAACCCATCTGGGCGTCCCTTCCCACTGGGACCATTGGGTGATACCAACCCATCTGGGCGTCCCTTCCCAATGGGTATCCCCAGCACCATTTGGTGACATCAACCCATCTGGGTGTCCCTGCCCCTCCTGTTCCCAGCCCCAGGTGACCCCCCCCGTCATGTCCCTCAGGGTGGCCTTGTCCCCCCACCCTGGGGTGCTCGTACCCATCTTGATGACGGAGAGGATGGTCATGATGTAGTTGTCATGGGACGGCGTCTCCTCCATTGCCACCAGCTTCACCTTGTACACTGGGGACGGATGTCACCGTGTCACCCCCACCCCCAGACAGCACCAGGGTGGCCCCACTGCACTTGGGGGTCCCTCTGTCCCCACCTTTCCACCCTCTATATCCCCGCCTGTCCTTGTCCCTTCATGTCCCCTCTTGTCTCTCCTCGTGTTCTTCAATGGCCCTTTACGTCCCCATCCACATCTTCTATGTGCCCCCATGTGCTCCAGCTTCCACCCATGCCCCACGTCCCCCATTAACCCCCCATGTCCCCCATGTCCTCCCATGCCCCGCCATGTCCCCATGTCCCACCATAGTCAACTCCCGGCTCGCAGGCACGCTCAATGCGTTGGTTGACGGTCATGGGGACATCATCCTTCTGCTGCTTGAAGCAGTTTTCTGCAGGGACACGGAGACACGGCCATGACAAGGTCTGTTGTGACAGTGACATGTCCCACCATGGCAGGGATGTGTCCCACCATAGCAGGGACGTGGCTCCATCACAGTCATCACACATCCCAGCTTGTCCATGATGTGTCCCATCATGACCATGACATCCCATCATCCTCAGTGATGTGTCCCATCACGGCCATGATGTCCCATCACAACAATGACATGTCCCATTGCAACCATGATGTCCCATCACAATGACGTGTCTCATCACGGCCATGATGCCCCATCACAACAAGGGCATGTCCCATCATGACCATGATGTCCCATCACAACAATGATGCATCCCATCATGACCATGATGTCCCAATGATGTGTCCCATCACGACCACGATATCCCATCACAATGATGCGTCCCATCATGACCATGATGGCCCATCACAATGACATGTCCCACCACAACCATGATGTCCCATCACAACAATGACATGTCCCATCACAGCAGGGGTGTTGGCCCAGCGTGTCCCCATGTCCCTGTGTCCCCACGTCACCTTCAGCGCAGCGGCACACGTCCTTGTAGCAGATCTTGCTCAGTTTCCCACCTTCTTTATCCGGGTGGTAGAAACGGGTGCAACGGTCATCTATGGGGACATGAGGTGGGGTGGGACACAGTGGGAGACATGGGGACAGAGCAGTGACATGTGGAGGCTGAGGGGCAGCAGAGGAGGCAAAGGCACGTGGTAGGACAGGAAGAAGATCAGCAGAGACATGGTGGGACAAAGGGACAAGAAGGTGCCCAAGGGTGGCACTGGGGGACGTGGGACCCACCGATCTTGTAGTAGCTGTAGACGGTGACGGCCGCGGGCTGGATCAAGCCCACCTTGAACTGCTGGTGGGCCTTGAAGGAGAAGCACTCCTCGGACTGGTGTGAGATCTGGGGACACGGTGGTGGCACTCAGCATCCCCGTCCCCAGCCATGAGGCCATCCTGTCCTTGTCCCCACCCCTGGGGCCCTTTCCTGTCCCCAGCTTCAGTCCTATCTCCATCCCTGGTCCAGCCTCTTCCGCTG